TGACATGGGATCCATCTTTCACATAAAAATTCAATGAAATTTTCTTGTCATAGGAAAGTATTATGTGAATTATCAAAATTATCAAAATTTAATGCTTTCAACCTCCTCGAATACTAAACGAACACTGCATGCATCTAAATTCTTGTTTACAAATTCCGCCCAGGAAGAACTGGTTTCAATATGTACGCAGATAACACGCAACTGCGATTAACTTTCCTTGCATTAAATCCTTGGTTCTGACATACTTAGATCTTGTTACTGTTGCGTCAAGAACTCAAGAATCAACTTCATTCCTTAAAACAAAGATTCCTTTCAGTAATTCTTCGTTTTTTCCTCCAAATCTGGAAAAATCAACACACAGTCCAACCTTCCCCCCCCTCCCCCTTTCACCACGAATATCCCCGACGATAAAGATTAAATGCTTATTTATGACACGTGTAAATGTGAAATGTCTCCATCATGAGGCTAAATCAAAATATTAAAATGTCACTTTTTTCTTAAATATCAGATTTTAAAGTATTTAACAATTTTCTAATATTTCCTCGTAAAGAGCGAGGGGCGAAAAAAACGCCCCGGGGAAAGCTGGGTTATAGCGAAAGAAAAGGGACAGGAGGGGAGGATGTTGTAATTTCATGTAATTGGAAGCTATCAAAGGTTCAGATTTTATTAATTTTTCGTGTTAAACTTCAGACCTCTAAACAATCTGATATGGAACTGAAAATTATAGATGTTTCTCAATATTTTCAACCACCTTCGAAATGATATAAATACTCGTACATGAAATCGGGGTTCTCACAAAATAATCTTATCTACCTACTTATTTATTTACCGCCTACCTAGCTCCCTTCCACCCACAGTCACATGCCCACATTTCCCTTTCTTTTAACTTCCTTCCTATACCCATCTTTAAGGTAACACAAAGTTGTAAGTGAGTTAGTGATGTAAAACCAATCAACTATAGGCCAAGGCGTTGCTACCAGGGGCGGATACAGGGGGGGGGGCGGCAAGACCTTCGCACCCCCTGACGGATTTCAGAATAGCTCCTCAATGACCTCATTAGAACTTAAGGGAAAGAAAACCTAGTGCAAAACAGGAAAAATATCTATCTTAAAAAAA